TATTTATTTATTTATTTACTTTTTTTTAAAGGTTTCTGAAATAGAGTGGAGGAAAGGAGGGTAGTAGAGCACCCACAGGGACGCTCATCTCAAAGAACGTCAGTTACAGGAGGTGAGTAACCTCCTCTTTTCCTTCGAGAGACGTCTCTGGAGGTGCTCCACAGCAGGTGGCTACAAGCAGTCTATCTTATGGGGGCAGGGACTTCGGACCCGGTAAGTATGCTGTCTGCAGGACAGCCTTCGCAAACTTAGTGTGGCGTAACAGACCTGAGGCAAGTGAGTAGTGATTCGTGAAAGTGTGATCCGTGAACCACGTTGCTGCTGCTCAAATGTCCTTCAGTGGAACTTTTCTGAGGTATGCGACTAAGGTTGCAACTGCCCTCGTAGAGTGTGCTCGGACTGGAGCAGGTGGAGGTAAGTTATTAAGCGAGTAGCAAGTATTAATGCACTCAAAATCCCATAAGATATTCTTTGAGATGATATTTTCTCTCCCATGTTATGGTTAGCGATGGAAACAAACAGGTAAGGAGAGGACCTGAATGACTCTGTTCTGTCAACATAGAAAGAGAGATCTTTCGACGTCGAGCATGTGCATCTGTGCTTCAAAGGCGTTGAAATGAGACTTTGGGAAAAGCACAGGTAGGTGTATAGTTTGATTGATGTGAAAGGCTACATGGACCTTAGATAAAAATTTGGGGTGTGGCCACATGGACACTCTGTCTTTAAGGAAAATATTAAATGGTGGCCTGGACACGAGAGTGGCCAGTTCGCTTACTCTGCTTTCTGATGTGATAGCTTCTAGAAACACTGTTTTAAGCGTTAAGTGGAGTAAGGAGCATGTGGCCATAGGTTCAAAGGACGGCTTTATTAATGTTGTCAGAACCAGGTGAAGGTCCCATGGTTCTTGTGGGGGAGACAGATCAGGGTATAGAGCTAGCAGGCCCTTCAAAAAAGAAAGTAGTGTCATCCAGTGGTACATGGAATGTTGTTATAGCTGGTAGGTGCACTCTGAGGCCAATGAGAGATTAGACTGCTGTGCAGAAGAACTTCCTGGACTTGTTGGGAGCACTGGAGCTCTATGCTAGTGAACCATTGAGGTGCTGTGCTTTTAGATGGAGCATCGAGAGTTGAGAGTGAGGCATGCTGATTTGTGGGGGGAAGCAAGGCTGTCGTGGCCAGCATGGAGCTATGAGGATGATCTTCGCTTTGTCTTTGCTTATCTTTATGATGACCCTGATAAGGAGAGGAAATGGAGGAAATGCATGTAGTAAGGGTGCATTCCATGAGTGAATCAGAGCATCTCCTAGGGAGTGTTTGCCCATTCCCACTCTGGAACAATACATTGTGCATTTTCTGTTGGATCTGGTGGCAAACAAATCTATGCAAGGGTGGCCACATTGGCTGAATACTTCTCGCAAGATTGTATGGTCCATCTCCCATTCATGCTCCTGGGGGAGGGCCCTGCTTAGGGTGTCTGCTGTTGTATTGAGAGCCCCAGGTATATGGCATGCAGATAATTGGATATCCTGTGCTACTGCCCAGTTCCAAAGGACTATCTATGGCTTTTCTGCACAGGGGCTGTGACTGTGCTCTGCCTTGTCAGTTTACATAAAACATGCATGCCGTGTTGTCCGTGAAGACACGGATGTGTATCCCTTTCGCCTGAGGGAATAGCTTTTGACACGCTAGGCAGACGGCTCTGAGATCCAAGATACTTATGTGCAGATCATGTTCCATGGGGAACCACAGTCCTTAAACTGTTCTCCCTTCTATGTGCGTGCCCCAGCCTGTGAGCGAGGTATCCGTGGTGATGACCACTGAGGGCTCTGTGGATTGGAAGGGCATGCCTGCAGTGAGATTGGACACCTTTGTCCAGCATTTTAATTATGCTTTCACTAATGGAGGCATAGTTAGCCTCTTTGTCAGTGAATGAATATTTGGTTTGTACTGCATTAGGAGCCAGCCTTGGAGACACCTCATAAATAGACTCGTATTGGGTACCACAGGAAGCCATATGGCCTAAAAGTCAAAGGTAGACTAGTGCGGTGACTTATGTCCTGTAGAAATAATGCCAAGTATCTGATGTGAATAGCTCTGTTGGGAGGGACAGAGGTTTTGGCTATGACAGAGTTGAGGTGTGCCCCAATAAACTGGATTCTCAGCGAGGGTGTAAGCATTGATCTGAGGTGGTTCACAAGAAGTCCGTGAGAAAGAAGACAGTCTAGCACCATGTGAGTGTTTTGATGGCACTTGTGTCTGGACCTTGCTTTGACTAGGCTGTCGTCCAGGTAGGGATATATGGTAACTCCTTGTCTCCTGAGGTGGGCAGTGACTGCCACTAGGATCTTGGAAAATACTCTCAAAGCTACAGAGAGTCCAAAGGGTAGGACCATGTACTGAAAATGGTTTGGACCCATTTGCCTGAGGTAATTAGTGATGAGAGTTGCACTACGAGGCCCGCTGCATAGTGACAGCTGTAGCCATCGTTCTTGTGGCCGAGTCTGCTGTGAGAGCCACTTGCAACGCTATACGCAAAAATTGTCTGCCCCTCAGAGACAATGGCTTTGAAATGTACATTTTTTGCTTTCTGGAAGATCATTAATAAATGTGTTCATTTTCACGTAATTGTTATAATAGTATTTACTAAGCAGGGCTGAATAAATTGCTACCTTCAGCTGGAGTGAGGCTGAAGCATACACTCTTTTGCCAAATGAGTCTAATCTTTTATTCTCTTTGTCAGATGGGGTTGAGCAATTTTGCTGCTTATTTCTTTGCTGTACAGTGTCCACCACAAGGGAATTGGGGGTGCGGAGAATGTGCGAAGAGAAATTCGGCTTGTAGGATGTTAGTGAGCTCATGGGGAGTATCCTGTACATCTTCCACAGGGATATTTAGATCTTGTGCAACTCCTTTAAATAAGTTTTGGAAAGAGGAGACATCCTCCAAAGAGTTAGCGGCTAGAGGTAGAATTGCCTCCTCCATATCAACTAATGTTGTTGTGTGAGCCAAAGATCCCGTTGCTGACATAGGGGAATATTGGCTCTCATTATCTCTCCTCGTAACGTGTCTGTGAGGAGATTCAGTACAGCTTGAAAGAGTCTTATCTATATGTTTAATTTTAAATGGTCTCTTTCTGTGCTGTTGTGGTGGTTAGTTCCACATTTGCCATTGTGGGGGGTATGCCACGGGCAGGGGCATCCACAGATAGGGAGCCCAGGGAATCATTTGTGCTCTGATAAGGTCCAGTTGCAAGTGACTGTGTCCCCAGTGACCCTTCTGAATCAGGGACTAATTGTGGTAAAAAGCACCAAAATCCTCTCCCTCTTCATGGGAGAAGGGAGACAGAGAATCTGAGTCATCAGAAAGAAGTGACTGAATGTGTCTGTCCTCACTCAAAACTGAAGAGATGAATCAATCTTTAAGACTTTATTCTCCCTGTAGGTGATCAGGGATTTTGTGATGTGGGGGGCTGCGCTAGCTCAGAAGACCCCGATTTTACTGCAGAGCTGAGAGGGAGAGCTATTGCCACTAATAGTTGAGAGGAAAGGCAGTATTGACTGAGTGCTCTATCCCTTCCCTAGGTGCCATCGTGAAAGGCTGAGGTACTGGTGGAGTTGCCATAATGGTCAGCATTACTGGGGTTTCTGAGGCCAGCATGGAACAGCCTGTTGCCTCTATCAGAGGCAGCGTTTGAAGCGCTTTCTGGCTTATTACGTTGTTCACCTGAAGTACCTGGCTGGTCAAATGCGCTCAGAAGGTTCTTATCTGAGTGGTCTGACTTTTTTTTTTACCTCAGAATGCCTCTTGGTGGGTTGCTGAGGTAATGAGCTTGCCCTTTTTTTTTAGAGTGCTTAGAGTTATTTCTGTTAGGTATTAAGCTGTGCCCAGAGCCTGGGTCAGAAGCATGTCTTTTGTCGTTGTCATTATGAAGCATTTTCAATATAAGTTCCTTCTCTCTGTGAGACCTGGGTCTCATTTTGACACAGTGGGGACAATCTCTCCAGACATTTGAGGCAGGAGTCATGCACATCAGACGCAGACACTGCGCTGCTGCAGAGTGCACAGCATTTGAAGCAAGGAGAGTTCATACTGGCTTGTATGCTGAAGTGGCGGTTCAAACCGTGCGCTGTTTTTTTTTTTAAAACTAGTACTAATCTAATCTAAATAACAAGAAAACAGTGAAAGACTTAACCAAAACCTAGTAACTAACTAAAAACTAACTACTTTAACAACTAAGTGTGCTGAGGAGAGAAGAGCACTGCTGCATTCCATCTGCAGCCGGGGATGATAGAAAGGAACTGGAGGGAAGAGGGGGCCGTGCATGCGCATAGCTAGTCAGGGAGTTTGCACGCGTTGCGCACTGTGCATGCACGGCCCCAGCTGAGGCACTGCTAGCAAAACTCCATCCCGAGGCACTGGGACGCTCTACACCTGATGTGGAGCACCCCCAGGGACATCTCTCAAAGAAGAAATAGGAATTTCCTCTCTGTAGAAGGCACAGCATTTAAAGCCTGGAGAATCCAGCATGATGTAAAGTTTTTTTAAAAACTACTAACAACTAAGTAGATAGCTCCAATAATAACAAGAACTAACTAAGAATCTATCTAAACTATTTTAGAATTGTTGAAAAAACCAGGGAACTGTGGAGCTTCATCTCTGGCAGATGGTGGTTGAAAAGGAACTGGAGGATATGGGCTGCGCATATGTGGTGCCTACTGGCATACATGCGCCAGTTGGTGCTGCGCATGCACGGCTCCCGCAGAAATTGCCTCAATATCTCTCCGATCCAGGTGCTAAGACGGCACCGAGACCCCCACCATGAAGCATCCATGGGGACCTCTTGAAGCAGAACGGAATATTAATACATTCCTGAAGTATTGCAGAACAATACTAGAATCTCAATATTTTCTGGTAGGAAAACCACTTTAATTACTTATTTAAAGAATTATGAAGGCCAAGTCACCTAGATTAAAGAAATGAAATTTCTTGCAAATACTGACCCATCTTTATTGGTTGTGTCATCTATAGGTTTCACACTGGCTGCGAGTGGTTCTAGAGAAGGCTTTGAAGTGCTGAGGGAATTAGTTGCATTGGAATCAAATGACATCAGTTGCTGATTACTTTGAGAAGACATCATTGAGCCAGCCAGAGACCCAGATATCGGAATACTATTGAAGAATGCTGTTGAAAAATCCCTATGCCAAAAAGATTAAAAACAAATATATATAATTTTTAAAGGAGTTTTTAAAGAATACATTAAAATTTAATTTTAATGTCATTGGATGTGCATATTTTTTCCACATATTTTTCTCATTTCTACTGCAATGCAGGCCAACATGGTGCTTTGCAATCTACCTCTGATAATTAATGAGACAGAAGGAATACACATAATTTTGGAGTGATGTTTGCTTGTGTACAGCTGAAGAACGAAGAGAGCTCCCTCATTTTTGGTGAAAACATTGTTGTAAGTTAAAGTTTTTATACCAGGAACTCAAACTACTAGCCCATGGTCACTCTTGGCTGAAGTATTTGCATAATCAGCCCCAAGAGATGAGGGGCGCTGTCCATTCTCATCCCCCAAACCCTACTCATTGCTGCCACCACACTGCTCTCTCCCCCACCTATTACAGACCATCCCTCGAAGGAGCAGCCTCAGGGATTTCCAGGGAGGCCTAGAGCGGCATAGCAGCAGCAGTTGTGCTCTTCCCCGCCTGAACTCCCAGTGTTGGAAGTAAGACAAGATGACCTTTTGATGGGAAAAAAGCCATGCCTTCAAAGTAACTATTCCAGGCGGATCAACTGTGCGGAAGGCTGCCCCTTTAAAATGCCGCTTCTGCGCGATTCATAGGGACAGCTGTGGAGCCCAGGGTCAGCTGGGGACTCTCAATTGACCCCGGGCTCCCCACAGCATGTCCCCAGCTGACCCTGGGTTCCGAGGAAGTGCTGTGCGGAACCTGGGGTCAGCTTGGGACTCCCCAGCTGACCCCGGGCTCCTGGTGGAAGCATGGAGCCCAAGGTCAGTGGGGGACTGTGAGTTCCCTACTGACCCTGAGCTCCATTGCTTTCAAATGCACAAGAACCCCCACTGGGGACCCTTGTGCATTTTAAAGCAGGCATGCTGTGTGCAGCCCGTATTCAGCGGGACTTCCCACTGGCTCCGGGCTGTACCCGGAGTTCCGCATTCCTCCTTTGAAATGTACAAGAGCCCCAGCAGAGTCTCTCATACATTTCACAGGAGGAATGAGGAAGTACCTATTGACTAGTTGTCAGAAATTCCATCCACTAGTAGAGTAGTCAATTAACTGCATTTTAACATCCTTAGTTCAAATAATGACTAGAATGATTACTCAGAATATAAACACATGCTTTAAATTGCTTCAGATGTCAGAAGTATATCAACAAGCTCCTTGGCAAAAGTAGTTTATTTTTCATGCTTGGCTCTGATCTTGGGATCTTTTTTTCCATCACCCTTCCCTCTTCCAAAAATAACAGTTAAAGCTGCTCATTCTGAGAAAATGAATCCAGATAATCTAAAGCACTAAAGGATTCAATACACAGTATATTCCTAGAAAAGGAAAAAAGTTTTTTTTGGACAACAAAGGAAACCAAGAATGGAACCACTCAGTCATTCAAGATACCACAGCACTAGAAGCATGCTGGAAGAAATGTTAGAAATCACATATAAGCCAAATTGCAAGGCAGATTATTACATTCTTCTCATCTAAATGTCTGCATATTTAATTTGAAATGATTTTCACTTCTCTTGGACCCAAAGCTGTAGTGTGAACTGGAAGAAATAAATGAAAAAGTCAAGGAACGTAAGTAAAACACTTCAAAGCATACCCAGTGTCCAGCTGAGCTATACAGAGAGGTGTGATCCGCCTTCGGCCATCTGCAGTTCGTGTTTCAACTTGTTTCTTTAAAAGATTCTTTTCGGGGAAGGAGAGAAAATAATGTTAATATGAATGCTTTTTTCCAGTTGACACAGGATTGTCAACTGTTAGGTGCGATGAAATGAAAAACGCTCATCAATAATTATACATTATTGCAGGGAAGTTGTTGTTTTTTTCAGTCACAGCTGTGTTTCTAAACCCGAGGCCCCAAATATTTACACAGTCTTCTCTCATTCAATCTCCCTTCATGTCAGCACAAACTGGATTTTTCAGACATAACCTCTTTGGAGCAAAAATTATCTTTTAATAAGAATTTGTACAGCTCCTAATGCAATGGAGCCCAGAACTGTGATTGTGTTATGGCGGATACTGAGAGGATCAAACAACAAATCTCAGCTAAATACAAGACAGAATACTTTTCACAAAACCAGGCTTCATATCGGGCCTCAGTTGTCAACCTCAAAAGAAACCTGCACAACACCTTCAAAAGACAAACCATCAACCTTTCTTTGTCTCAAGACTGCAAAGCTCATAAATGGCCACTTCACTGTGAATAGTCACTTTCACCATATTAACTCCATATGCTAAATAATTTGCTTCACCTTGTATTTAGTTGTGACACTGTGCACCTTTTCCTGACCTGAAGAAGAGTTTGTGAAAGTTCAAAAGCTTGCCTAAAAGATACTATCTGGCCCATTTTGTTTCCCTAATTATATATTAGATATTTATCAAATTTGTAGTAGATTCTATAAAATCAACAGTCAAAAGGCCTACCTTTCTAATGTCCTCCAAACTCTCACCATTAACCATGCTTGCCACTTTGGGAGCTGTTGTTATAGTCCCTGCTGCATCCTGTATTGCTGCATTCTTCTGCTCCATCTGCTGCTGTTGCTGTCTCTGTTGATACTTCAGCATCTCTGGATTCTCAATAATGGTAGTGGACAACTGAGCCTCACTCATTATTGCTAAGCTTTTACCATAAGTGGACTGGTGAATGTTGCTCTACAGATGTTAAAAATTTAAAAACAAAACCTGATTACAACTGCAAGCAACACATCAGTGATTGTACTATAAAGAATTATGTATATCTATTTGTATTAATAGAAGTACGTTTAGTACTATTTACACATCATTCACAGTTATTTTCCTTCTTGTTATATTTTTTCAGATAACATCTAACTCATTAACTAACTTAACTGGGGTGGCAAAAGTTCCGCTGATAGCAGTGCTAAGGGGGAAAATCCATTCTTGCTGATAGAAAAGCATGTTAAAAAGACTTGCATATAAGCTCAGAAGAGTAATTTTAAACCATAATTTTGAAATCAGGAAGTCAGTACTTACTACTTAGGCCAAATGTTTCAAATGTATAATGCAATGTAAGCAAATGGGTATTTGCCAAGATAATTTCTACCCTGGAAAGAATACTTAATACCGCAAATTGTTTCTGAACTTGATGGATACTACAAAAAATCTTCCTGGTTTGGAAAGGAGACAAGATCACATTTTCCTTTAATATGAAAATCAGGCAACTAAAAAATTCTATGAACAGTTCTGAGCAAATTATTTTAATAAAAATGGATGATCACATTTATCCTGAGATCTCATAGTACCTTCTCCTCCTCACTAAGTGGATCTCCAAGTTCATCCTGGGAAAAATCCAAAAAAGCCACTGATCCGTCCATGGAACACACCAAGATCCCAAGTCCGTTTAAGGTCCTGATAGACAGTAAAAAGCTTCGTTTTCAATTCATTAATTTTAAAAAGTTTGCTGAGTTTATTTAATCTATGCATACTTTACTGTAAAATAAATAGTCAGCATAGGCTTTTACACCCAGCTATTACTGAACTAATCAAAAAAGTGAGACAACGTGGGATAGTCAAGAGACTATGTTTGATAACCAGTGACCACATACAGATTTTGTATCCGCATATGGCTCTACTCATTCATGTATCTGCATCCGCATCTGTATCAATAAAAATAAGCCATGGATACCTGCAAATTTAAAGCAGTTATCTGCTAATTTGCAGTGTTCCAGATATAAATTCTGTATCCAAAGCTACAAAAATGAGCAGCAGATATCTCCATCCATATGCATGAATATAGACACACATGGATATAAAGCAGATATTTGTAGGATTCTGTGCATGTGTTTTTGACCACAGTGCTCACCCATATTAATGATCAGAATGGAAAAAGCAAGACTAAGGAGAAAACTAAAGGTGAATCACAAAACAAAAAAGCAAATCCAGAAAGTATATGCTAAAAATATGCCAACTAATTGGGCTACAAGCATATTTCAGCACATAACTAAAAAGCTTCCCTTTTTAAGCCCTGAGAATCACAATGGTATGGTAGTATCTAGGATGCAATAAAGAATGGGACCCACTATGTAAAGCAAACAGAGTGGGAGACAGTCACTACCCAAAGAGCTTATAGGAATGCCAGATACTTTCACAAAAAATACCGAACATTGTGGGGAAAAAATTGGTTGAGTGAAAAAGAGAAAAAAAAAAAAAGCACCAAATAGAGACCACAGATACCAGACCAAGACTGGACACCTGGCAACCCTAAGAGCTTACAATCTACCTAAAAAAGACATTCAGAGAGAATGGGGAAAAAGATATATAAGCTGAATGATGGCTAGTCATCCCTGCTCCATTGCGATTCCATCCACTGTGGAATGTCAGCAATAAGAAAGCCAGACAGGCTGGAACCAACCCAACAGTCTCTGGTTTAGGCCAGAGGTTTTTGTTTTTCTCTTCAGTATCTTGCACATAGAAACCTGGTTCCTCTAGTAGATAGCATATGTGTCATACCAGCATTTTTCTGGTGGTCTCTACAATATCTGTAAAATAAGCTTTGTTTTAAAAAGCCCTCCTGGCCCTTATAAGGCAATGACCTTTCAAATGTGGTTCATTATTCACAGACTAAGGGGTTATTTGCTAGGAGAGGCCTTGACCATTAGCTCCTAAATGCAGCTTTCTCTCTAACAGGTAACGGAAATTTGCAGAGGCTGTATCACAGATGAAATTAAAGAAGGCATGCAGAGCATTGATGACAAGTCCCACAGAGTCAGCCCAATTACAAACATTTTTTTAAAAACATGTCAAGGCCGCTTTAGACACAAACAAAGGGTTCTTTGTCTTTACAATATGATCTACAGGGCCATACACTCTCAAATTGTCCCAGACAATACTTAGATAACCCAAAATCCCAAATGAAAAGTGATCAGGTTTCTCTTAGTAAGTCCTAGCCTCCTAGTCTGAATTCGACAGACAAAAATTTAGATTTAGATAAATCACGGAGATATCCACTGATGTTGGAGACAGTCTATCTGAAGATACAATGCTAGATGAACATCAGGAAGGCCTCAGTAAAGCCATATTCAAGGATCCATCATTAGACATTGACAATGTCTCTTTTTGTACAGCACCTAGAAAACTGGGGTGCGTAACTGGGGCTCTTAGGTGCTTCCACAATAAAATAATACAGACCAATGTCTTATCTCCCTTTTTGGAAAAGAGCACTGAAAATCATAGAATCATAGGACTGGAAGGGACCTCGAGTCTGGTCCGCTGCCCTCATGGCAGGACCAAATACTGTCTAGACCATCCCTGATAGACATTTATCAGGGATACTACTCTTAAGTATCTCCAGAAATGGGGATTTCACAACCTCCCTGGGCAATTTTTTCCAGTATTTGACCACCCTGACAGTTAGGAACTTTTTCCTAACATCCAACCTAAACCTCCCTTGCTGCAGTTTAAGCCCATTGCTTCTTGTTCTATCCTCAGAGGCCAAGATGAACAAGTTTTCTACCTCCTCCTTATGACACCCTTTTAGATACCTGAAAACTGCTATCATGTCCCCCTTCAATCTTCTCTTTTCTAAACTAAACAAACCCAATTCTTTCAGCCTTCCTTCATAGGTCATGTTCTCTAGACCTTTAATCATTCTTGTTGCTCTTCTCTGGACCCTCTCCAATTTCTCCACATCTTTCTTGAAATGCGGTGCCCAAAACTGGACACAATACTCCAACTGAGGCCTAACCAGCACAGCGGAGAGCAGAAGAATGACTTCTCATGATTTGCTCACAACTCAGCTGTTAATGCATCCCAGAATCATGTTTGCTTTTTTTGCAACATCATCACACTGCTGACTCATATTCAGCTTGTGGTCCACTATAACCCCTAGATCCCTTTCTGCCGTACTCCTCGCTAGACAAAATATAATGGTGCTCAGATATTTAGAGTGACAGGTACAAATTTACAACTCTAAAACCAATAAAGCCCAGACATTTCTGGCATTATGTGCAGTTTCATATTTCTTTGATCCAAGTCAGTCTGATTTAGACCAGAGTGTACACAACTCAAGATTTAAGAATTTGAAGCACTGTCCAAAATGTGAGACACACAAGATGTGGAGCATAATTTCAGATGTTTTCAGAGAGCAACACTGCAATGCAGAAACTACAGAACTGAACCACCATAAAGAAAATCAACCTTCTGTTAGCAGCATCAGAGTCAGATATGGGAAATAAATATACATTCATCTGAACTGCTTTGGATCTTTATCGAACAGGACCCATCATCAGCATAGATGTATGTCCTCTGGCATGGTGGCTGAAGCATGAAAGGACACATGAATAGTCAGCACATCTGGCACATAAATATCTTGCAGCCCTGGCTACAACTGTGCCATGTGAAAGCCTTTTCTCACTTTCAGGTGACATTGTAACCAAGAAGCAGGCAGCATTATCTCCTGCTAACTTGTTTTTCTGAGCAATTGGCTGAACAAGAAATAGGACTGAGTAGACTTGTAGGCGCTAAAGTTTTACATTGATTTATTTTTGAATGCAGGGGGTTTAGTACATAATTCTACATTTGGTTCAATTTTCAGATAAAGAGACTGCACTACAGTACTTGTCATGGGGGAACTGAAAAATCCTATTTGTTTTACCAGTGTAAATATTTCTAAAGTAGGAATGTGATAGTGTACCCGTATAAACGGTTAACAAATGAGCCTGAGCTCATCGATTAAACTTCATGGGAACATGCAGGCCTCACCTTGCCCCCACTCTCCCATATACTGCTGCCTCGGGAGGCCAGGGGGCCCACGCAAGAGCTGATGCTCACAAGAAGCCAGCTTTTAGGCTTGCTCCCCACAGGGACCCACTCCTGCAGAGCAGCCACCCCCTTCCATGCTTCTACCTCTCTTCCCTTGCCATGCTGCTGCCTCAGACACACTTTGTGGAAACTTGTACAAACAGGGAGCTGCCTCTCCCGCCCCATGTAAATGTACAACAACTGAATTTTTGAGCAGTTACAAGTTTATCTGAATACATGCATTTCAACATCTCTATTATAAACAAATATAAATATAAACAGAGCACTGTACAACTTACATTGTCTTATAATTTAAATCAATATAGTTTAAAAATGTAGAAAAGATCCAAATGTAATTAAATAAATGGTATTTTTATTACCATTTAATCATGTAACTCATTTTAATGATTAATTTTAATCTACATTTTTAGTCACAATTAGTTTTTTAATTATGCAATTAATAAGAATAAATTTGTAATCATTTGACAGCCCTACTTTATACTACTAAAAGGTCTAACTTACAGAGTTTAAAAATGTAGAAAAGATCCAAATGTAATTAAATAAATGGTATTTTTATTACCATTTAATCATGTAACTCATTTTAATGATTAATTTTAATCTACATTTTTAGTCACAATTAGTTTTTTAATTATGCAATTAATAAGAATAAATTTGTAATCATTTGACAGCCCTACTTTATACTACTAAAAGGTCTAACTTACAGATGAGATTGGCTTTTCTTTGAATAGGCTTTGAAACACACAAAGCTTCTATATTACAGCACTAAGAACGCAGGGCACGCTTTCATGCATTTATACCATTTAGCACATAAGCCTTAACTTTCACACACACACACACACACACACACACACACACACACACACACACACACACAAAAA